GGGGGGGGGGGGGGGCATCTCCTGCTGCTCGCTGTGCATTTGGGGGTCAGCTCAGGGTTAGGGCAGCAGGCAGGGGAAGTTTGTTGTTCCACAAAGTGGAATTTGTATAACCCTGACTCATCTTCGGTAGGTGGGGATGAATCACCGTCTCGAGTGCTTGAAAAGCTCCCAGGCCACAAAACCAGCGAGGGGCCTTGATTTTTTTTTTTTTTGGAACTTTGCTTCTGCTGGAGGGAAGATCAGCACAGGAATCAGCAGCCCAGTTGCTGCTGCCACCCTTTTTTTCCAGGAGGAAAAGAGAGGGTTGAGCGCTCTCCCTGTAAATGGCTGTGTAAACGCAGGTGAGGGAGCTGCTGATGGCCCCATCTGCAGCAGCCTGATGGCTCATTCATTAAGCGCTGCCACAGCTTCCTCATCAGCTTCCCTGCACGATGAATAACGCCGAAATAATCCTCGGATATTTGAATAAATATGGGGAGAAGGAAGGAAAGAGCTCAGAGAACAAAACCAGGCGTTCTCCAACGTTGCGGGGCTGGATGGAAATGGTGCAGGTGGCTGATGCCTGACGAGGAGCTGACTGGGGGCTCACAGGACAATCCAGCAGCGTGGTGTTCTGGTTTCCCACTGGTTGTCTAGAAAAGCCTGGCCTGAAAAACCTCCTTTTGCCGACAGATGTGAACCTGGGATGTTTTTCCACCCCCCCACCCCAGCCCGGAGATGCCACCAGCGCCGGTGCCACCGCTCGGCAGCTGGAGGCTGATGAGCGGGCAGCAGACTTATTTTAATAACCAGGAAAGGAAATGATTTAATTTTTTTTTTTTTTCCCCCCTAAGAAAATACAGAGAGATTAGCAACAGGAGCATCTGGAAAGGGGAAGTTCAGCTGTGAGCTGGTTTTTTAATAGTGAATGTTTCAATCTAAACTAGCCAAGGAAGGAACTGTTTGGTTTGGGTATTGTCCTCCCCAAAAGTTTTACTCTGACGTAAAGGACCTACATGTAAATCCACCAGCACATCTCTAATGCTCTGTGTGCGATGCAGTTAAAACTGATCAGAAAGCTGAGGAGGAGCACACCGTGGTTGTTGAGAGTTCTGAATTTCAAGGGCCTTAAGATCCTTCCCAGGTAAATAATTAAAAAGTTCTCATTGCACACGAGTTCAGCGTTGAGTGCAGCATCAAAGGGGACGTGTTGGGAGCTGGCAGCGCTCCTTGCTGACTGCTGGGAAGCACCAGAGGAAAAAGGAAAGGAGGGGGGGGTGGTTTTCAAGATTTACCTGCATCCTGGAGAATGAAATAGGTGGTGTGGGATCTGGGGACTCCACGGCTCCATCGGGGCAGGTGAGCTGGAGTGCAGCTGGTGATGGTTTCACTGGTCAGGACAGACTGGCCCCTGTCTTCAGGGCCTTTGGTCACTGCAAAGACAAGGGAGAAAAGAGGATGACCTAAACAAACAGGAGTTTTTTTACTTTGTGTGCCACATGCAAACTGTGAAATCGATTCACAATTCTGATATCAATACCAGAGCAGCGGTAACAGCTGCCATCTTCTCCGTGCCGTCACCCA